TCTAATACTATTATAGCTGGGGACTTAAGTGCCCCACTAACAACCCTAGATAGATCATTGAGACAAAAAAATCAACACAGAGATCCATAACCTCAATTTGACACTTGATCAAATGGATTAATAGATACCTACAGAACACTCTACTGAACAACCACAGAATATACATTCTGCTCATCACTGCATGGAATGTACTCCAAGATCGATCATATTCTCAGCCATAAATCTAGCATAAATGAATTTCATAAGATAAAAATACTGCCATGCACCTTCTCAGAACACAATGGAATAAAAATAAATATCAACACCAACAGAATTTTCTCGAAACTCATAAAGACTAAACAGCATGATGCTGAACAACTACTGGGTCAACACAGCACTCAAAACTTTGATGAAAACAAACATCTTACTAAAACCTCTGGGATGCCATAAAATCAGTTCTAAGAGGGGAATTTATATCTCTGTGAACACGCATCAAGAAAATAGATTGCAAGTTAACAGCTTATCAAATCACCTAAGGGAGCTGGAAAGACAAGACCACCAAAACCCTAACTTTAGCAGAAGAATCCAAATCAACCAAACAAAAAGCTGGTTCTTTGAAAAAATAAGATCGATGGACCCCAAGTCAGAGTGATCAAGAAACAGAGAGAAACAGCCCAAATAAACATAATCAGAAAAGCAAAAGATCAAATCACAACTGCTCCTGAAGAAATATAAAAGATTATCAGAGATTACAATGCACACCTGCATGGAAACAAACTTGATAACCAAAATGTAATGGAAGGTTTTCTGACATCACACAACCTCCCAATATTGAAACAAGAAGATGCTGAGACACTAAATAGACCAGTAGCAACCCAGGAAATTGATTCTGTCATAAGAAAACTACCTAAAAAACAAACAAACAAACAAAAAACACTGGAACTGACAACTTTCCAGCAGAATTCTACAAAGCATACAAGGAGGAGCAGATACCAATCCTACTGACAGTATTCCAGGCAACTGAGAAAGAGAATTCTCCTCAAATCATTTGACAAAGCTAATATCACACTGCTACCTAAACCTGGTAAAGATCCAACAAAAAAAGGGTATAGGCCAATATCCCTAATGAATATAGATGCAAAAATTCTCAACAAGATTCTAGCAAATCAGATCTCAAAAATCATCCACCATGACCAAGTAGACTTCATACCCAGGGTGCGGGGCTGGTTCAATATCTTCAAGACCATAAACGTAATTAAATACATCAACAGATGGAAAAACAAGAGCTACATGATTATATTATTAGATACAAAAAAAGCTTTGATAAAATCCAGCTTCCCTTGATAAAAACTCTTGAACACCTAGCCATAGAAGGAAGATACCTCAAAATAGTAAATGCCATCTACAATACACCCACAGCCAGCATATTGCTAAAGGGACAGAAACTGGAAGTATCTCCCCTGAAATCCAGAGAAAGACAAGGCTGCCCACTCTCACACCTCTTGCTCAACATTGTGTTGGAAGCCCTGGCTAGAGCAATTAGAGAAGGAAGTCAGGGGTATCCAAATAGGAAAAGGAGAAGTTAAGTTATCCTTTTTTGCTGATGATATGATCCTATACCTTGAAAATCCAAGAGAATCTCAAAAATCTCCTTGCACTGATAAAAGACTTTGGCAAAATCTTGGTACAAAATGTGCAAAAGACAGTCACATTATTATACAATGCATTATTATACAACAAACAGAGAACCAAATAAAAAGCACAATCCTATTCACAATAGTCACAAAAAGATGAAATAACTCAGTATCTTCCTAACCAGAGAAGTGAAAAATTTTTACAATGCAAACTGTAACACACTGCTCAAAGACACCCAAGAAGACACAAATTAATGGAAAAATATTCCATGTTCATGGATAGGAAGAATCAACTTTGTGAAGATGACCATTCTACCAAAGTCAATGTGCAGATTCAACACAATATGCATTAAATTACCAACACCATTCTTCTCTAATCTGGAAATGACAATACAGAAATTCATATGGAAACATAAATGGCCACAAATAGCCAAAACAGTCCTTAGCAACAGAAACAAAGCAGGAGGGAACACTTCCAGACTTCAAACTTTCTTGTACGGCTATAATAATCAAAACAGCCTGGTATTGGTATAGAGTAGGCACATGGATCAATGGAACAGGATGCAGATTCCAGAAGCAAAACCTCAATTTCTCAACCAACTCATCTTCAACAAAGTCTCCACCAACAACCACTGGGGAGAAGAGAATCTGTTCAGTAAATGGTGCTGGAAAGACTGGCTGACCACATGCAGAAGATTGAAACAGGACCCCTACCTATCTCCATACACAAAAATCAACTCTAAATGGATCAAAAGCCTAAATGTAAAATCTCAAACTATAAGAATCTTAGAAAATACAGGAGATACCCTTACAGAAATCAGAGTAGGCATCCAATTCCTGTTCAAAACCCCAGATGTCCACGCCATAAGAGATAAGATAGACCTCATTAAACTGAAAATCTGCAAAGCAAAGAAACCAAGATAGTAGAGAGACAGCCCACAGAATGGGAAAAATATTTGCCAACTGTATATCTGACAAAGGCTTAACATCCAGGATCTATAAGGAACTCAAATGTGCTGAAAGGAAATAAAACAAATAGCCCCATTAAAAATGGGCAAAAGACATGAATAGGCACTTCTCAAAAAAAGATATGCAGGCAGTCAATAGACACATGAAAAAGTGTTCAGCTTCACTAATCATCACAGAAATGCAAATCAAAACCACACTGAGGTACCACCTAACCCCCAGTAAGAAAGGCCTTCATTAATAAAACAAACAACAGATACTGATGAGGATGCAGAGAAAAGGGAATACTTCCACACTGCTGGCGGGAATGCAAACTAGTTCAACCTCTAAAGAAAACTGGTTATTTCTAAAAGAACTAGAAGTTGACCTTCCATATGACCCAGTAATTCCTCTACTGAGAATATACCTGGAGGGGCTCAAATCATTTTACAAAAAAGACACCTGCACACGCATGTTTATTGCAGCTCTAAAAATATGGAACCAACCATGCTGCCCATTGAAACTGGACTGGATTTTTAAAAAATGTGGTATATATACACAATGGAATAGAATATTACACAGCCATAAAGAAAGACAAACATATGGACTTTGCAGCAACTTGGATGGATTAAGAGTCTGTAATACTCTGATCTATCACAGAAACACAGAATAGAGTACCATATGTTCTCACTCATAAGCAGACCCTAAACATTTATCATAATACTATAAGAAAGGAATTGACAAGAGTGGGATACTGCCGGGTGAAGGAGGGAACACATAAATATGGGTACTTGATTTCAAACCAGGCAAAGTGGGGACCACAGGGAGGCCTAAACTTTACCTGAATGATGACCACTTGTATACCTAATCTTGAATTGTATCCCAAATCCTGAAAATAAACCAACAAATAAAAAATAAATAAAAATAAAAAAAGAAAGGGATTGGCAGTAGTGGGATACTGCTGGTGTGGGGGCAGAGGAGGGAACACATCAATAAGGTACCTGATCTCAAACCAGGCAGTGTGGGGACCAAAGAGAGGCTCAAACTTTACCTGTACGATGACCACCTGTTCTGTATACCTAATCCTGAATTGTACCACATACCTTAAAAAAAAAAAATATATATATATATATATATATATATAAAGAAGAGATTAGAACATGCTGAGAGACATCAGAAGCAACATGCACAGAGGAAAGACCATGTGAAGACATAGCAAGAAGATGGCCATATACAAGCCAACAAGATGGCAGGACAGACCAAACCTGTTGGCACCTTGATCTCAGACTTCCAAACTCCAGAACTGTGAGAAAATAAATGTTTGTTGTTTAAGCCACTCAATCTGGTATTTTGTTATGGCTGTCTTAGCAAATTAATACATTGAGATATAACTCTGAAGCAGCCTGAGACTTAGCATAAAATCTTTATTTGAAAGATTCTCAAAGTGAAGTATTACACTGTTGATCTTAGAGGAAAAGTAAGATGTTTAACATTAAGTTCTAAAGAGAGACTTGTAGCTTCAGTGACTTCATTGAAAAACAAACCAGTCATTCCAGAAGGGGGCACAAGCAGAGGCTGGCAGTCTTATTTTTTCCTCTAGGTGCTGGTTACAGGGCATGTTCAGTTTCTGAGAATTCAGCAAACTGTTAGCTTATCAATTTAAAGTTTAAAATAACCCAATCTTGCCACGTGACTTTATTTTCAAAACCACTATAAATAGATAGCTTGAGGGATTTCCTTGGTGATGAAATAGTTTTGTATCTTGGTTGTGATGGTGTCTAAACAAACCTACATACTGATATAATAAAATTGAGTAGAACTATACATACATTTACACACACAAATGAGTACTCATAAAAACTGGATGAAAACCAGTATTGTACTGATGGTGTCAATTCTTTTGGTTTTGATATTATATTATTTACGGGGGAAGGGTATACAGGACTCTGCACCATTTTTGCAACTTTCTATGAGTTTATAATTAATTCAAAATTAAAAGTTAAAAGATATTGAGGGGGGAAAGTCAGATCCATGATTGACAGTGAAATACTAGAAGCATTTCCATTAAAATCAGGACCAAGTTAAAAAACAAAACAGAATAAATAACCCAAAACCATCATTTCCCCAACTAACTGGTTCACAGAGCCTCCGTTTCTGAGTTGAGTTTAGCAAATGACACGGTTTCCTTTTTTGGAAACCTACATGATGAGTATCATCTGTTTTCCTAAAGATGATGAACTCAGAGTTGCAGGACTGAGATCTTATCCCAACACAGAGAGTAGAGGGTCCAATTGCATACTTTGGCTCCTGGCCTGAGGCAGTACTATAGCTGCCAGGGGAGGGAGTGCTACGGATACACATCCAAATTGGTCTAATACCATCCAACAAAATGATCATCTGGCAAGAAAAAAACAAAAAACAAAAAAACCAGAGCCAGCCACCTTAACACAGGAATAGGAAATTTTTTAAATTCAGCATTTATTAATCATACACACTCAACTCTGAGGACTAGACACTGAAACACACAATTGTCAAAAACTACAAAAATGAGTGATGCCCACATATTTAAATAGCAAAACATTTATACATATCTCACCACACATTCTCAAGTTTTATCCCACAAAGTATGGCATAAAATAATCACAGCATAAATATCATTCAAGTAAAACGTTATTTAAAATAGCTGCGCATGGGTAATTAACACACTGAACTGGGATTCAGCCTTCAGAGAAAAAAGTCGTGGCACAATTTCATCACTGAAATTAATAAAACATTTGTTTACATTTGCTCCTGATCTTTATTTTCAAGAAGTCTCTCCATAAGAATAAAGGTAGGTGTGGAAAGAAGAAATAAATAGCACTTGACATAAAATCATACTTAAAAGCCACTTAAACAGATAAAGATAACAATTGCAGGTCAGCTCTTTAAATGAGAACCCTTCCATAGCTGGAGGAAGTAAATGGGGAAATGTTTATTTAAGGCCAACAGACTTGTTATCTGGGTAATTTCATTTGAGTTATAATTGCTGGGAACTTTCTGCTGAGAACTCTTGGTAGCAAAGCCCAGAAAAGTGCTTTCTCCAGAAAGGTTCAATACAATGAAATAATATCTGATAAATGAAGGAAGGTCAATATATCCCTTATGGTCTGAATCAGGGACTGGCAAACATTTTCTTTAAGGCACCAAATCATAAATATTTTAGGCTTTGCATGCTATACCATCTCGGTCCCAAGTATTCAGCTCTGCCAAGAAAGCAGTCACAGACCATACCAGGAATGAACAGATGTGGCTGTGTTCTGAAAAAAATATTATTTATAAACACTGGAACCTGAATTTCATATAATTTTCATATGTCATGAAATATTGTTCTTTGATTTTTTTTTCCCCAACCATGTGACAATATAAAAATCATACTTGGGTCACAGGTTGTACAAAAACAGGTGGCAGATTAGATGTGGCTCATGGGCTGTAGTTTGCCAACCACTGGTCTAGTAGTCCTTTTCTATTTCATGTTGTAAAATATACATTTTTCAAAATCTCAACTATCACATATGGTTACCTGATTAAAAATAGCAACAAAAAATGTTCATTTAAAAACACTTCTTTTTCCCCCACAACCCAGAATCAATTTACTAAACAGTAAGTGATTTCCTTTAACTATAAAATTGACCAAGGAGATTACAATGAGTCTCTGGTCCTCAATTTATCTACCTACGAGCCAAATATGCAAGAAAACTCCAAATATATCACCTAGCCAGAGAATCCACTGGCTTACAAAGTTAAAAACATATTTGAAAGTATTCCTCCATACATCTCAGGATTGGTAATCCAGACTTCTAAAAAAGAACATCAAAGCATTTTTATTCTTAATAGAAAAAAGATGAACACACCCAAATCTCAAGTAATTAGGATGTTATATAAAACCACTTAATATGATGCAAATAAAGAGAAGAAATTGTTAAAATGATGAGTATGTAATTCTTGACAGGACCCAAGCAATATAATTAGGAGATGAATTTCAGCTCTTTCTCCTTCAAGCCTTGGGGATACGGCTGGTGTAATCCAGACCTGATGCTAGGCAGCTCCAGGACGGGAGGCCATCCTCCTGTGTGCATAGGGACTTTCCAGACCTTTAGTTAATTACCCACAGCTCCCCAGGGGCTCAGTGAGAGATTCTAAATCCTGGGTGGGCTTCAAGAGTAATTGCATCTGGCACTATTTTCATTCATGCTTTCCTTCCACTACTGTATTATACACAGAATGAGTGGAGTTCACACATAGATGGGGAAAGGAAGGTGTTTCATTTTTCACCTACTTGGCCTGGAATAACCTTTATTCTTATGGGGATGGGAGGCATGTCTAGAAGAACCTAGAATTTTCTTAGTTGGACTTTTTCAAAGTGAGAGGCAACACTGGTCATAGGAGTTTTTGTTTTTTCTTTTCTTTTTTTTTAGTGATGAATTATAAAAACTTTTATTAGATACAAGGTGCCTGAAATTCAAGGCCTCATGCCTCTTCCACAAAGTGGACTGGCAATTATGGAAATGTTTTCCCCTTTTGAGATGATTGTGGCAAAACTGCTTTTGTACTTTTGGAGGGAAAGGAACAGCACTGCAGCAGGACAGAAAGAGCAGGCTGCAGGTGACAACCACTTACTCAGGCTCAGCACTGGCCTCTCCCAACTTGGCAAAGCTGCTGCCAGTGTTTAAGGGAAAGGCTAGGTGGTGCTGCTCACAGCATGACTCCTGTATAGACTCCAAATTTCCTTTTTTTCTGGCAAAGTCACTTTCTCTTGGAACTGAAATATCCTATCGAGCTAAGGTCTGTATGGAACCTTCAGTCCACATGTAAGATGGAAAGTACTGGACACGACCAGGGCAATAAGGCTACTCAGGGAAGGAGCGGGGTCGAGCAACCACGTGCCTTCCATCATGCCCAGCTGCCTCTGCTATTCTTTCCTTTACACTTTAGCTCATTTCCTAAAAGAAACAAAAGGAAGCGGAAAACAGGACAGAAATTAAAATACCTTTCAGGGGTTAAATTTAGGACAATGAAGACTTCAATTTAAAAAATGGTCTAGAAATGCGAGGTGTTCCTTCATTCCTCCCAGAAGCATAGGCCATTTTGTGTTATTTCAAGTCTTTAAAAAAATGATTAATTCAACCTCTGCTGCAACTCTCTGAATACACAGAAAGTGTCTTCAGTGCTAAGCAGGCAGATGCCAGGGAGAGGGTACTGTGCCCTTGACCCGCCTGCCAGTCACAGAGGCCTCCTCTGAAGTACTCCAAACCCATATTCTGTAGCCACGTGGCAGATGGTCATGCCATTGCCCAGGCAATGATCAAGACCTGGTGACGAGCTGACAGGCCTAGCCTGGCCTGCTTCATGCTGCACCTTGCTCTGAGGCAGCCCAGGCTTGCTGGGTTGTGGTGGGGTCCCAAGGCACCATTCTATAAACCCAGTGCTGGCTCTCCTGGAGTCGGCAGCCACAAGCACGTGGCATGTATTGGTCCCTAGTTTGGTAAGGGGAGGAGGAGGATATGCATTTGCTTAAGATTACGAGGACTGGATGAGTTTTTAAAAATGTATAATTCTAATAACCTATTAGTTTATTTAAAATAATGGATGGCATGTGCCCATATATGTAGGCAAGTTTCCATTTTTACTTACTAAAGGGGTGAAGAATCCTACAAGCCTCCATAACACACATACTTGAGTTCTAGATACTCATCAATGCCATACTTGGAGCCCTCTCGCCCAAGGCCGGACTGCTTCACTCCACCAAAAGGACATTCCACGGAGGAGATCAGGCCTTCATTGACACCCACCATGCCCACTTCCAGCTGCTCTGCCACTCTCCAGATCTGGGCTGGGTCTTGAGAGTAAAAGTAACCTGTCAGAGAGTTAAAAGGACATATATGACATATAAAATATTCACCAAAGACATCATGTCTAAAGCTGAGGATGCCCTTGACTGTTCACTTAGTCGCTAGAGCCTGGAATCTTCTCTGCTTCCAGATAAAGCCCATGCTGGTCCTGTCTACTTCTTCCTCTCAAAACCTTTGAAAACCGTTTTTTTTTTTTTTTTTGCTTCTGCTTCACTCTTGTGAGGGCTCTTACTCTATCCTATCAATACCTAGCTCCTGTTTTGTACCATTAAATCCATCCTGCACAACTCTGTTAGATTTCCACATGACATTTTTGCCTAAACATTTCAGTGACTCCTGGTTATCTATAAAATAAGGTTAAATTATCTAGCAGGTATTCAAACTTTCCCTAACACAATTTCAGAAAACATTTCCAGCTTTATCTTTCATTATTGTAACCACCAACCATCTTCTCCCAATCTGTCAGCCAAATTCTCCTCTCTTCCTCTCCTCCCCTCCCTCTCCTTCCTTCCTTCCCTTCCCTTCCCTCTTCCTTCTTCCCCTCTCCTCCTTCCCTTCCTTTCTTTCCGTCCCTTCCTCCCTCCTTTCTTGACAGGGTCTCGCTGTTGTCCAGGCTGAGGTGCAGTGGTGGAATCAAAGCTCACTGCAGCCTCAAACTCCTGGGCTCAAGTGATCCTTCTGCCTTGATTTCCCAAAATACTGGGATTACAGGCGTGAGCCACAGTTCCTGGCCTCTCCTCACTCTTTTTTACTTTGCTTCTAAACTCCCTTGTTTCCTCTGCCTTGAATCTCTTTCTTCCAACCTTTGCACAGTCAGAATTTTGCCCATCATTTATGACCCAGTTCAGAACAAGGCTTCTTCCACCATCATCACAATGAGAAGGGAAGAGATAAATGTTGAACTTGGTATTACAGAAGCCCTTGTGCACACACCTTACTCCAGTTTTATGGTAACTCTCAGGGCCTCATCCCATGCTTTTCCTTCCTCTTGGTCTAAGTAGTTCTCTTACACCTAGATGGGAAGCTTCTATGGAGCTACAGCTGTGTCTTCTATGTCTTTGCATCTTCCTCATTCACTGTGGATGCTGACAAATAATTTTCCCAGGCTTAGAGGCACATACTGTGGTCACCTTAACCATCTCAACTGAAAGAATGGTAGCCATTCCGTGAGGTGCTATCTGTGCACACTACATTCACTTTTTTTCCTTGTCCCTGATGCTCTCTGTGGATGCCCTTTCTAGGGCTTCCCCTTCTATTCAGGCTTTCAGGAGCCAGGAGAAATGGAAGAAAAGCATGGAATTTCTGGGCGTTAACTGTTAAGAACATGGACTTTGAGATGTGAGCAGTTCTCCACCTGGAATAATCGGTACTTTCTCTTTCCCCCCTGGCTCCTCCACTCCAGCTTTAACCAGAGAGCTCCCAAATGTGTATCACAGGGGACAAGGTCAAAGAATATACTTGCACAAATCCACCCCTTGCCACTTGAGAAGCAACAATACCTATACCCCATTGATGTTTCTTGCTCAAAATCCAGGGCGATGTCTATAAGGCAAAGTCTGACATTAGCTTGAGAAAATGCTTATGACTGTGACTGAACAAGGACAAACACGTACCTGCTAACCCAACGTCCGCTGCATTAGCGATTGCTATTGCCTCCTCCTCTGTATTGAACCTGCCAAAGATAAGAAAGGTCAGAAGCAAAATCTGTAAGGGGGAGAGTAAAGAAAACCGGCTTTCTTTTCTGATCTGTTTCCCAAATAAGGGCAAGGGATAAATCAGAGTTTTGCAAAGAGATCTAAGGGTAGAGTATGGAAGATAACAGCACCATTCCCTGAGATCTCTCAGCATTTGATCCTTCAAAAGCAGAGAAAGAAAGAAAAAAAGAAAGAGGAAAATCTACCAGCATTCAAGGATAGCATGCTCAAATCAGTACTAGCTTCACCTCTTCTAAGAGGACAAGAAAAAAGCAGGTTAACATGCAGAGAACTGTGGCATATTCAGAATATCAAACAAAATTCCTTAAAAAAGCGTTACTGTTCTTGGTACCTACTGAGAATTTATAACTATCATAACAACTACTTTAGAAGCAAGCCTGGTATAACAGAAAGAAAACCATTCAGAAGAGCTCAAGGCTGGGTTCTCATGTTTTCTCTACCATGACTATGTTTAATAATGTCATGATGCCTGGAGTCTGTTCCCCTCTGAAATGAAGGAGTGCACCACTGCCCCATGAGGTATCTTGTAGCTTTATAATTCTATTTGAGGAACAAGATGTGAGTGGTATTTTTCTGTTGTTCCAGAACTGTAACTGTGGCAAAAAAAAAAAAAAAAGTTCCAAGCACCCCAATTCCTAAATTCAGGGATCCACCAGCAGTGGGAGTCAGCCATCTCTCTGCAAGGCTTGTAGAAGGGGATGGGCCCGAGCTGGCTCCAAAAAGTTGACTTGTCCAGGAGTACCAAAGTCCTGAAGCAGCAAGGCCTGAATCTACACCAAAGCTAACTCCAAAGCCTGAATTCCCAACCACCACATTCTTTCAGTTTTCCATGTAAATGTTCACATTTTAGGTAAAAAGTTTTTATTAAAACAAAAAAGAGGAAAATTCTCCAAGTGGTGCATTTCCCCAATGGTGGAATAACATATAAATATCATCAGCACTGGGATAGTAAAGTATATGATAAAAGAGATTTCTGGTCTTGGACAAGATGGCAGAGTCAGCACCAGCTGCCACCTGTCACTGTAACTCCAATGCTGGAGATGCCAGGGGACAAAGAAAGATAATCGTGGCTCACAAAAACCTCCTCAACAACTAACACCAAAAAAGAAAGACACTTCTGGAAGCCAAAAAAGGTGGCGGGATCATGGGAGAAAATGATGGTCTCAAGCGGGATAGAGCTCAGGGCCACCCATGGAGGGGTAGACAGGGCAGAGACAGGGCTGCACCTCTCCCCTCATGCCTGTGAGTTTCCGTACTAGAGGCTCCCTCGAGCCTCAACCCTTTGCCCTCCAAATGCATAAGGAGTACAAACTAAGGTCTAAGCTTTTTACCACAATCCCATGGTATATATTACAGGCCAAGTCCACTAATAATTCAAGGGGCTAAAGACCCCATAGGGAAAATGATAAGACATCAGAGGAGTTCCAAGACTAAGAAAGACAAAACAGCACCACCTACACCAAAGGAGGCAGAAACAGCAGAATCAAATACAAATGTGAGAAAAGGATAAATATCCACAGCAAATAAGAATAATGAAGCAGGGAGAATGAGTTGTAAGAGCCAACAGGAGAGATGAAGGATGAAAAAATAACTTGGTGGGTGGGCTGGGCATGGTGGCTCATGCCAGTAATCCCAGTGCTTTGGGATGCCAAGGCAGGAAGATCACTTGAGGCCAGGAGTTCAAGATCAGCTTTGTTCACATAGTGAGACACCATCTCTACCAAAAGTAAAAAAAAGAAAAAACACACACACACACACACACACACACACACACACACACACACACACACACAATTTGGTGAGTGAGCTGAAAAGCAGAATGGGCATATTTGAAGAATAAATTAATAAGCTGGTAGATGAGGAAGGGTCTCTCAGAAGGCATCAGACATGGATGAATAGATGGAATGAACAAATAAGAGGTAAGAAAAGTGAGGGACGAAGTGCAAGTATCACTATAATTGACTGCTTGGGAGACTGGAAAAGAACTAATGGAGGGGAGAAAAATATTTGGAGAAATAATGACCAAGAATTTCCCAGGACTAAACAAACCCATTAAAGAAAGAAACTGGGACCTCTGACAGAAAAAACTCACAGCATGCCATGCCAGAGCTATTACAGTAAAATTTAAGAATATCAAAGACCAAGAGAAATTCCAGAAGTTTCTAAAGAGAAAAAGTATGTCCACTTCAAAGGAGCAAGAACCAGACATTAGATTTCTTAGCAACAGCCCTGGATATAAATTGATAAAAGAATGATACCTTCAATGGGTTGAATGTAGAATTTTATCAAGGTAAATTATTTACTCATAAATGTGAGATAAAAGGTCACAAAAGGTAGGAAACTTCATTTCCTACAGATGCCCATGAAAAAATGAGGGCTGTGTGCTGTGACTCATGCCTATAATCCCAGTGCTTTGGGAGGCCAATGGGGGAGGATCACTTGAGACCAAGAGTTTGAGACTAGCCTAGGCATCAAAGCGAAGACCCCATCATTATAAAAAAATTAGAAAATTAGCAGGGTGTGGTAGAACCCATATGTAGGCCTAACTACTTGGGAGGCTGAGGCAGGAGGATCGTTTGAGCCCAGTAGGTGGAGGCTGCAGTGAACTATGATAGCTCCACTGCACTCTAGACTGGGTAACTCAAAAAAAAAAAAAAGAAAAGGAGAGAGAGAGAGAGAGAGAAAGAAAAGAACAGCAAAAAGCAAGAAGAAAATAAATTAAAGAATTTTATAAATTTTGTGGTCCAAATAAATGATTAAATTAAAAACCTACACATCTAATTCTGCTTGCAACAGCTCTCTGCCTACCCACCCAGCCCTCAAAACGGCACATGAATCTCTCTCAGGGTTTCCTTTTTCTTTTCTATTCTTTTCTTGTCTTCATACCGGCTGAATGATCTTACTTGATAACTGGTGCCAGAGGCCCAAAAGTCTCTTCATGAGAGCAAAGCATCTCCTGGGTGACATTGCTGAGCAGGGTGGGCTCAAAGAAATTTTTCCCCAGTTGGTGTCGTTTTCCACCTGTCACAACAGTGGCCCCTTTGGAAACAGCATCACTCACGTGTTTCTCCACCTGTATGATGAGAAAACGAAGCGTTTTCCAAATTATACAATCTCTTAGAATGTTAAAACTTCATAAAACTGCAACTGACTTTCTTCCCTTTCAAGAAATAGGTTAAAAACAAAACACCCTACCCAAAAGAAACTACATTTGCAGATACAGAGGCAATAAGAGGGTGTGCACAGTGCCGCCCTCATTCCTGCTCCTTACTCTTTCTGGAATGGCCTAACATAGCGTTCCCCAATCTTTCTGGCTTCAGAGACCAGTTTTGGGGAAGGCAATTTTTCCATAGACAGGGGTAGTGGAGATCACTGACCATCAAGCATTGGATTCTCAAAAGGAGCACACAACCTAGATCCCTTGCATGTGCAGTTCACAATAGGGTTCCCACTCCTATGAGAATCTAATGCCACTCTTGATCTGACAGCAGGCAAAGCTCTGCTCGCCTGCTGCTCACTTGCTGCTGTGTGGCCAGGTTCCTAACAGGACATGGACAGGTATTAGACCTCTGCTTGGATGTTGGGGACTCCTGGTCTAATGTATGTCAACTTTATTCCAGTCTGCTGCCCAGTTGTTTCCAGGGATTTGATTTCATTGCACTCTGGGGTTTAGTTTCGGCTTCTCGGATCCCATGTCATCAAACTGAGCTTTCCCTGTTTTCTGATACATTCTCCTCAAGCAGTTGTTTTGAAAAAAGGTTTCAAATGTCTTAAAGTAGTTTACATTCTGAGTTTTCTTACACAGCATGTCTATGTTTTCTCTTATACTTCATGTGATTGACAATTGGGTTGGTTATAGACTTTTGATCCAAAATAATTTTTCTTCAGAACGTTGAGTGCTCTTCTTCCCTTCTAGTATTGTTGATGGAAAGTCTGAATCGAAAATAGTTCTCTCTTTTGTGAGATAGTTTTCCCTCTCTGGAATCTTCTAGGATTTTATGTTCTGATGTTCTAAAATTTTAGCAAAATATATGTTTTCTCTTCATCCATTCCACTTGGTAATTGGTAATAGACAATCTTCCTATCTGAAGAATTAAGCTGTTTCCCCCTAGCTCTGACAAGTTTTCATTTATTACTTATTTAATGATGTCATTGTTTCTATCTTCTCAATTCTCTTATTCTAGATCTCCCACTACTAAGATGGATGTCTCCCTCACCTCAGATTAATTCTGATATTTCTGTAATATTTTTTATCACTCTATCTTTTGCTTTAAATTCTATGAGGTCCAAGGATACCTACATAATGAACATTTGTATACCTAACCTTGAATTGCACGCCACATCCTGAAAAAAAAAATTCTATGAGGTCTTAGCTGGGTTCAATGGCTCACACCTGTAATCCCAACACTCTGGGAGGCTGAGGTGCGAGAACTGCTTGAGGCCAGGAATTTGAGACCAGCCTGGGCAACAAAGCAAGACCCTGCCTCTACAAAAAAAATAGAAAAATTAGCCACATATGGTGGTATGCACCTATTGTCCCAGTCTCTTGGGGGCTGAGGCAGGAGGATCCCTTGAGCCCGGGAGTTCGAGGCTGCAGTGAGCTGTGATTTTGCTACTGCACTCCAGTCTCGGTGACAAAGTGAAACCCTGTCCCCCCTCAAAAAAAAATTCTATGAGATTTCAGTTGTATCTTTTATCTTCAGCTACTGAATTTCTTGATTGGTTGTGTGTTTAATTTCTAGACTCTCACTTTCATTGCTTTGATTTCATAGAACTTGCTCCTTGGTTTACAGATGTATGATCTTCTCAAAACTCTTGGAGGACACTATTAGATTCTTAGAAAATTCCTGTTAGTTCCCCAATTTATCTGCATCCTTCAGGTTCTGTTTTGTTTTTCCTGACCCTTCCTCTTATGTTTTGATGGTTTTTCTGAAAGGTGCCATGATCCCTGGGTGTTCACCCTTCCGAATGAAGAACTGGATTGGTCAATTTTGGCAGGTGACACAGGTGGTCTCTGCTGTTTCCAGTCCTTCCCTCAATGAGAGGGACACCTGTAAGCTTGGGTTTATTCCCACTTGACAGGCTTCCTGCTCCCTTTCTCAAAGGGCAAAATCAGGAGGTCCTGCTCTGGTGCACCTAGCCTCACTCTCAAAGCTGTAGCCCTCCTAGAAAGGCTGCTATATTTCTTCAGAGGTACTGCCCTGCCCAGAATAAATGCCTCTGCTGTCTTGCGTGTTTTGGTGGTGGTGGTGTATGGGGCGGGGGAGGAATGGTATGGAAATGACCCAGGAAACTGTGCAAAAGTATAACCAACCAGATCCATCTCTCCCTCCTACTCCCATGCTCTACACCAGCCAATTCTAGAAAGACCCATCATAAAAGTGGCACCAATTTCCTCTGCAGGCTTTCCCTGGGCACACCCATCTGCTCTGACTTTTCTGTTGACACAATTCCTTCTGCCTTCCAAAATTTCATAACTTTTGGAGTCCCCTTCCCTTCTACTTTCAGATGAATTTTCTAGAGTTTCCAAAGAGAACTAAATTTGGGCTTGGCCACTTACTGCTATTCAGACTCATGCTTTTCAGATCCACATTCACTATGATGCTCTCTTAGTCCATCATCTGCAACAAATCCCCATTAGCTAGGTTTCCTTACTTTCTACAATTTACATTTCTTTTTCTTTCTTTTTTTTTTTTTGAGTTGGCGTCTCACTCTGTCGCCCC